AGTAATACTGCTTGTAAGGCTCGTTCAAAAGGTTCAGCATCCGTTTGTAATACTTTTACTTCTTTGGAATAACCATCACGGCGAAACTGTTTGAGAGGATAATCGAAAATAAGCCTTGGTGCGTATTTGTCTCAAATGTAGGGATTATTAAAGTCTATCGTGGCCGTGAATTCTAAAAGGAAATTTTGCGAATTAGTTGCAAATATTTTGTTGACCGTATTTTCTCAGGAGTTTATTTCTTCTCTTTCCTCTTTAGAAAGTTGGGCTCCGGATTTGGTTTCTACATTAATATGATGGGCTTCATCAGAAATAAGAACAATTTTTTGTTCTTGAAAATCCTCATAAGTTATACTATTTTCACGAGGAGTATTTAAACGAGAATGAAGTCCTTGAATGGTAGAAAAAACGATATTAATATTATCATTATCAGTATTTTGAAAATTGCTTACTTCTTGGAGAATTATTTTCTTACTTTCGAAAGAGATAGATTTATTAAAAAGGTATTTAATTGAAGTGTCGTTCAAAAAATTATCTCTGGTTTTATCAATAATATTAGTGCTATTAACAAAAAAGAGAAAATTACGATATCCCTTTTGATATAAATACAAAATTAATCCGGCCATCATTAAAGTTTTTCCGCTACCAGTTGCCATTAGAAATAGGAGTTGATGTTTATCTTTGCCTCTGAATTCTTTTTTTCAATAATTAATGAAATAACGAAATGCGTTTTCTTGATAAGGACGAAGTTTAAATTTTGGATTAAGGTTTTTGGTTATTATTTGAGGAAGTGGAGTGTTTTCTATTCTTTGGGTTCCAAAATATTCAATTAATTTTTGCTGTAAAGATTTATTGTTTTGGTTCATGAGACGTGATATTTTTATTTATTTTATTCCTAATTTTTCCCCATATTTGGCATAATAACTAGCTGGATTTTTTTTCCTCCCTAACCATTTTATTTCTAAGTTAATTTCATTCTTTTCAGCTACTTGATAAGCTAATTCGGTATAATATCTGTATTTTCTTGGTTTATCCCAACGAGAAAAAGAAGAAAATGTCCATTTAGTCTTTAAATGGCTGATATTTTTAAAATCGCTGTAAATTAAAACCCTGCCTTGATATTTCTGCTTTGCTAGTCAATAAACAGTATCCAAAATAACATGAGCCTCGACATCAGAATTTTTTAAAGATTTATCTTTGATAAAGTTAGCAACATTTTGACCATTTTCCACTACACTACACATTCAATAGTCCCCATTTTTTTTGGAAATTCCAACGTAAAATATTCTTGGTTTTGTATAGATAATAGGTTCATTCATATTAAAAACCACTTTTAATGCTTCTTGAATTTGTGCTATTATTTCCAAACCAGTATAACCAACATAACCTCGCAGTCGCAATTTTATGTCAATGGTCTGAACTCTATTCAGTAAAATTTTGCTGTCTTTCTCTAAACCATTTTGCTTATTTTTGGTAATTAAAACGGTGAAGGGGCGTTCTTTTTTTACTTCTTCAATTTCCGAGGTTAAGGGGGCTACAACTATCTGGTCATCAAATTCATTTTGGATGTTATTACTAATTACCATAGCCGGACGAATTTTCCCAATTTCTTTGCCTTTTTTGGAAAAATAAACCTTGTAAATTTCCCCTTGACGAGGAAAACCATGCGGGAAAACTACTTGCTTATTCATTTTTTATTCCGTCTCCTACCGCTTCATCTCAAATGGCTAATTCCTTTTTAATTTTCTTGTTTTTAGCGAAGTCTTGATAAGCAGCCGCTAACTCTCGTTCTTTTAATCTTTCTTTTTGGTTAATTTTTATTGATTGATAAATTTCGTAACTAACATTTGCAGCATTTAAATGCTGCAACAAAAGATTTCATTCCTTTAATTTGTAAATAAAAGGAGCCAATTTTTCCCCTCTTTCTTTTTTTAATATTTCTCGCACTACGCTATAATCTTTGGGGGTAATGGTAGATTTTATGTAAATGAGTTTCATAATATAGTAATTTTAGGAGAGAGGTATATATCTGTCAAAATACAAAAACAATAATAAATAATAGTATATTATATTAAACACAATGGATGATAATTGAACAAAAATAATAATCGCACTTATAACATTAATTACGACAATAGTTGCGATAACATTATCTAAAATTCTAACTCACTATTTTTGGCTTAAAAGAAACGAAAAAGTTAGAAGTTTAGAAAGAGAAGTTGAAAAATTAAAAGAAGATAAAAAGGCGGTTGAAGAAAATAAAACAAATGATAAAGAAGAACGAGCAAAATTATTTAAGCAACTTCTCCGTGAAAAAGAAAAAGTGGTGAGATTAGAAGAAAGTGTAGAAAAAAGAGAACTTAAAGACCAAATTAAGCAATTAGAAAGTAATTTAAATGAAAAAGAGAACAGAGAAAAAGAATTGAATAATAGACTTTCCCAATCAAAAACCAGAGTTCAACAATTAGAAAATCTAATAAAAAATTTAAGAGCAAAGGAAATTTCGCTTCAATTTAAAGTAAGCGATTTACAAAAAGAAACAAAAAATTTGATAAACGTCAACAATAAACTAAGACTTAAATTAAGCAATCGTGGAATTAAAGAGGAAAAAACTGATCTTGATGATACGCCTTGGCAGGAATGAGAAAGGAAAAATCTGGAAGAAGAATTAGAGAGAAAAGAAGCAAATCTATCTTATAGTGAATTACTCAAAAAACGAGACAAACAAAAATTAGAGAAAAAAATTGATGAACTTCAAGAAGAATTAAACAAATCGAAAAGGAAAGGATAAGTAAATTTGCTTCACTCGTTTCCTAACTAATTCCTTTTTATCTTTATTGCAATTCTTTTTCCTCATAAAACTCTCAATTTAACTTCTTAACCTCCTCAGAAATCTCATAACTTTTATCCTCCATATCACAATAAGGAACATACAAAAGATTTTTATCCAACAGGGAAATCAAAAATTTTTGTTGGTCGGTAAAGGACAATTCAGTAAATTCTTGCTTGGAATTGTCAATATCTTTTGGCTCTATTTTATAACTCAAAAAGGCCATTTTTTTCATCTTTTCTCAGATTTTTCAAAGTTCCGCAGTATTTTTTGCTACTTGAATTTGATTAATAAATTGTTGATTAAATTCGGCTAATTCACAATAAACAAAAGAACCTTTATTATCAATTTCACAAACTTTTCTAATTCTTTCTTTGGTTACGGTTTCAATATAATCCATTTGCTCGCAGATAATAAATTTCCGGTTCCCACCATCTTGCTTATTCAGTTCTAAAACCGCATGAGCCGTGGTGCCACTTCCTCCAAAAAAATCTAAAATTATAGCATTTTTATCATTACCAACTACCGCATAAAGGCAATCATAGACATTTCAAAGAGATTTGGGAAAAGTAAATGGGGCATTCGGCACCAAAGATTTAAGAATCTGTGTTCCGTAAATATTCGCATCGTATTTGGCATCAGCCCAGACAGTTTTGTAAGTTCCAAAATCTTTTCCTAATTCAATTTCATAGCCATTTTTCGTTTTTTTCACCCGCAAAAGTTCCTTAATTTTTTCTACACT